GATGGATAGGGAGGTGCATAAAGTATACATGACTACTTTAAACCACACAATTCCATTATTGTTATCAGTTGCCTCTATATGTTATTGAATCATAATGTTGTTAAAAACGTCACAGTTTCAAGATATTACAGAATAAGTAATAAAACTTCCATTAATATACTCTTTTAAGAAATAAAGATGCGCATTTAAATAAATATAATTGTTGTAAATGAAAAACATATCAAGAAAGTTTTATCTTGAGTTAAAATTTACAATCAGACTAAAATTCAAATTGAGCCCTTTGGTAAAATAATCTTTTAAATCCTGGTTATATGATCAAAAGTACTTAGCGAAATAATAATATCCTATTAGTAAACATAATCAATGTTAAAAAAGGATAATTACAAAAGAAAAAATCCTCTTTTTTTTACGACAGGAACATTATTGCTGCGACAATTTTTGTGGTCTTTCTAATCCTTTCTGAAATAAGTATAAAATACTGCAGTTCAGTCAGTGTGTGGTGATACATTGCAGAATTGAAAGAGAATAAATATTGAAGGAAATATTTTATGAGGGTTATGCTTTTATGCTTCAATAATATGGTTCTATTGTTCTCCATATTCATTTGGTTCAATCTGTGCCTTTCAGTTGGTATGACATCTACAAATTATAGACATCTTAAATTACAATACGGATCGATATCTGAAACAGAAAAGTTTCAAACAGTGCCATTCACCGAACAACTGATTGTGTTAATAGAGTTTAACCCAAAAAACTAAGCTTCATAAAATCATTAATGAGTCTCTGATAATACCGGAAATAACCCAGAGTGTTTGCACATGATCAGCATTGTCTGTTATTAATTACAATGACACTTTTACAACGCCTGTGTCTCTCACTAATCAGACGCTGTACACATTTTTGTGGAAGCTGGATAAGGGAGTACTGAAACGCTTCTATTATCCTGGACTAGAAGGACTTCTATAGCTCTATTTAATATGTTCCAGACACGCTTAATTGGGCTTAGATGAAAATATCAATCCACCATCTCGATTACTTCCTGTTCAATACAATCAGGAATGATTTCTGCTCGATATATGCAGGTATCGCCTTCAACCAAAATTAATTTTGAACTGACTGAACCAACAAAGGCATCGCTATCGGATGGAGAATCTCATATCAATACAACATCACATGAGTGACATGGATGTCCGTTCCTCCCCGTATGTTAATTCCAGCCCACACAACGATATATATCTGTTGAATTCTGCAGTATGTTGCGATTAGAAATGTTCGCCACGTTGTCTCTTAATTGGATATGCTTACAGTGGGTCGCAAACGTGACTCAGTTTAAATAAGGAGATCACCGAAGGGGTTGTGACCCCTTCCTGAGCTCCTATCGTGTTGTTTCCAGACACTGTTAATATTTTGGTATTGACACCTCATAAAGGAGCCACTCTTTGGGACGCATCCAATAACTGAGCGACATAACATTGCGCTGTCCCATTTTCAAGCATTCCTATGACCATGTTCATGTCCTCTTTGTTTCACTAGCGTTTCAATTGTCTCTGAGCAGATACACTTACTGCTAAGACAGTTTCCAACCAAACTCTCCGACATTACAGAATTTTGGAGAAACACCAATCTGTATTGAAACCTTAAAATGCAGAATCATGCTTATTTGTACCTTAGGTTCGCACACATAGTTAAATATAAAATGTTGGTAGCATGTTGGCAAGTGAAAGGAATAACTGAACGTCGATATCAGTCACAGACAGTTATTTATTGAAAACAGTGTTGATTTTCATGTGATGTGAAATATCAACCTTTAGAAAGAGTTTAGTAGTATATTTGTCAATTTGGCAATTATAAAACGTATTGCTTATTGTACCTATTTCAGATCGATCCTTCAAAACACCAAGTGGCAGTAGGTGATGATGACTAGCTTTCTTCCCTCTAGTCTTTCACTGCTAATTTAGGGACGGCCAGCGCAGATAGCCCTCGTGTAGCTTTGCGCAAAATTCAAACTAAATCAAAACACCCATCTACACGTGTCATTTATTGTTTACTAATTATTTTTCTAATATTAGGAAAATCAGGGAAAACAGGTTTTTGCTTTTTCGATAACTTAAGACAAACATAAGGTTTGTTTGTTTGTAATTAAGCACAAAGCTAC